CCAAGAGAAGAGATTTTCAAAACTGTTTAAATGTGTGACGGTAGTTCGTTTTCCCGCTAGCTTTAGTGACTTAAAAACGTATTGTTCGTTGCTAAAACAATGCTTACGGGCCCTTGGGTTAGAGTTGTCTGTAATAGCTAAACGTTTATTTTTACTGTAACGTAGTCATGGTAACACGGACACTGTCACCCATTCTGAGTTAAAATGTTTTAAGATAAAAAAAATCCTTCTGTGTGGACATTTGGACATTTTCTTATGGGCAATCAGATAATTATATATTTATTAATAGCTGTAACAACACGATAGTAAGGCTCTTCGACACATTTTTATTTTCCATATTCAAATTAATTACATTATTATTCATATGTATAGATACAGAATTTTGATTATTGTGAATTAATGATATTATAGGTGCAATGGTTAATCTTATTAGTCCTTGTAGTGAAAGTTGAAGTCATGTGCTAAAAATGTTTTATAATATGGCGCTAATACTCGCATTAGTTTTGGTTATACTGATATCAGCTGTTTTTCCACTACTTTTTAGTGAGCGAACATGATCATAAAATGTGGGTCATGGTTTGGTTCATATCAAAACTTGAGGATCTCTTGACATGAAAAGGTTTGACCAATTGTCAGTTGTAAGTATGCAATAGTTGAACTGTCAAAAACCTCAAATTTGTTCTGTCACCGGGTGTTTTTCAAGATGTGTCCTAGTCATTTGCCTTCTCAGGACTTCCGCAGAAGTCATTTGTAAGATGACGAAACGATTGGAGGTCTAGACTTGTACTGACTTCCATGAAATATTAAGTAATGTAAGAGGAGGAATCAATCTTCTTTTAAACAGCTTTGACTTCTGTCTTCTGTTTCCTTTCTGCACTACGCGCACGTTATATAGATGAGGTAACATCACTTTTTTTTTCTTATCTTAATACGTGTTTTTTGAATTGATATTGAGATATTTCTTGTTCATTTATTTCAATTTTCGCCATTGTTCACGATCAGCTGATGTTTGACTTGTCTCTGGAGGTCACACAGAGAGATGAGAGGGAGCAGCTATGAGTTTAACAGCCGCATCAAGTGGATTTGTCGTCTTCACTTCTCACTGTACCAGGTCTGTAACATGCTACATTTAGCTCTTTAGGACGTTCAGCTAAAACTTCACTGAGCCACAAGCTAAACAGGATGCAATAAATAAATGCGGCAGTTAATGTTGTTTTTTTCTAAAATGTGATTTTTCCTCTATCATCACTTGTTTAGCTCTGTTTTTTTTTATTGTGCTGTTAACGCATAGTCCCTTAGATCTGTTTCAGTGTTTTCACACATGCAGCATCTCTCAGTATCTTTGACCTCAACATGTTTAGTGGTGAGTGTTATTGCCAGTAAGAGTTGTGCTGTTATGAAATTAATCTGTATAAATGGAGGCTGTAAGTGGTTCCAATCTGAAGGATTCAATGTAACTGAAGAGTTAATCTACAAATGTCTTACATTCTGTTTAGAGATCAAGATAAACATGCTACCAAGGCTCAAAATGAGGAACCAATGTTGTCATTAAATTTTTGTTACTTGTCACAGTGACTTGCCCTTTCCTTAATCTAAATATCACCATGATGCAATCACGTACTGAATACATATGTACTTTGCCATTGCTAACTGACATGCAGCAATCAGGAGTAGCACTCCTAATTTTGTGTGTATTTTGAAATGACAATGATTACAACACGTTATCTCAAAGCACTTTTCAAATAGAGCAGGTCTACGACCTGGTCCAGAACGTGTTTTTTAACTGATGGGAAACAGACTGGAGCCCTAAATTACTGGACAGGGAGCATGAGATGGAGTATGAGGTTGAAGGAGATGCAGAGAAGGTGTTGGAAGGACCGAAGTCCATTTAGAAACCTAATATGTTCATTGAAAAGACCTTAATGTCTGATCTGATACTGGAAACAGGATAACCAAATGGAAAGGAAGAAAATTTTCTGGATTTTATTAAAATTCTTAAGCTGCGCAATCTGAACCATTCTAAAACTTTTAATAGTGAGCCACGTGGCCAGGCCAGAATACCAAAACGTTACAATAATCAAGTCTTGATGAAACAAAGACATGAATTAAGATTTCAGCATCAGTCATGGACAGAGAAGACAGAGTCCTAGCTAAGTTACGTAGGTTAAAAAAGAAGGTCTTGGTTTTATGTGCTGATTGAAGGAAAGTGTAGATTTGAAACTTGTTCAAACTTGGTGCCAATGTCGGGTCGGACCAACGACCAGCCTCTCAGTTTATCAGAATTTAGGAGAAGAAAATTTTCAAGACATCCAGATTTTCCCAGCAGACAAACAGACCCTCTAAATTCATACTCTGTGAGGTATCGTCAGCCTTAATAGACAAAATAATGATTTAAACAAGAGTGAAATATAAAGAGAGAAACGTTCAGAGACAGAGCCCTGTAGCACTCCTTAATTCACAGCCAGAGTATGTCGATATATTTATTATAGGTGACACACTGTGTTCTGTCAAGAAAGTAGCTGATAAGAAGATGTTTTAAAGATTCACAGTCCAATGGTTTTCTGTTAGGACTTCTCCATGTTTGAGTTTAAGGAACAAAATTAACATCATGAGTTTAAAAGTGAATAAAAAAGAAGAGACCATAGGAGAAAAAACATGACTTTACCTCAGTAACATATATATAACAATATATAACAACATGACAGACATCTTGTGTCTTAAACTCACAGTGAGAAGTGTTGGAGCCAAGTAGTTTTACAAATTGTATTTTAGTCATGTAGCAGGTTTCCATGTGAAGAACCTCCATAAAGTTTCTCTCTGTTGTTTGAATCTGATTGTGGTTTCTCTGTGCTCTGTGTTACAGTGATACAGGGTCAGAGTGGCTGGGAGTGATTTACACTCACACTCACATCTGTGCCTTTAAAGGATCAACAGTGAAAATAAGCTGCAGCTACAGTTACCCATCCAGATAATGGTCATGATACTACAGTTGAGGAAACATTCTGGTTTACTTAATGGATTAATGGTGCTGTGGATCTGAGAACAGACTCAGACTACAGAGGTCGTGTGGAGTATAATTGTCGTACAAGGAACAGCTGCACTCTGAGAATCAGAACCTGAGAGAGAGCGATCAGCTGAGTAAAGTTCAGAATCACAACAAACCAACGCAGGTGGCGAAATATAAAGGTGAACCTGGACGTACTTTGTCTGTCACAGGTAACGTTTTGCACTGATATTATCAATTTGGTTCCAATTCATTAACGACTGAGAAATCTGTTGTGTGTTTGCTTGATTGTACTTTTCTAGTTTAGTTAATGTCTGTTCTTGCGTCACATGTCCAGACCTCCAGGTGTGCTGGTGGAAGATCAATCAACCCAGACAGAGCTGAAGTGTCACAGCAGTTGTAAAAGTAGTTGTCGTTCCTTCATATGTCTGGTACAAGAACGGACTGAAAATGAAGGAGGAAACATTTTTCCCCTTAGAGTCTCTGTTAATGATGACAACAGTCTATTCCTTGTGCTCTTAAGGACATGAGGATCACCCCTCCCCTTCGCAATGTGTGAGTTTACTCCACAGTGTCACTAATACAATGTGAAAACTTAAACCTTCCACTA